TATGAAAACTATGGCGAAATGGAAAGCTTCAGAGTGGGAGTCATGGTTGTTATTTGACAGCTTGCCTTGTTTAACTGGAATTTTAAAAAAGGAATGCTTTGATTCGTATTGCTTATTTGTGTCAAGCATTTTTAAACTATTATCTGGTAAGATAAGTGAAAGAGAAATACTTGAATGTGAACTTCATTTATTACAATTCGTTGGTGAATGTCAACAATTTTATGGAAAAGGTGTAATGACATTTAATTTACATTCTATGATTCATATTCCTAAATCAGTACGACAAAGTGGACCTTTGTGCTCTAGCAATACATTCATTTTCGAAAATGGAATATTCAATTATAAATTGGAGATAAATGCTGCTCACGGCGTTTCCCAGCAAATTGTTTCATCAACGTTAAAAACAAATCATGTTCGCAATAATATTGATAATGCAACGGAATCAACTACCTGTCGTAATTATTGTAAGAATCTATTTCTCCCACAATACTTAACGAATTATTCCCGTATAAGTAATGGGGCCATGCTCACTGGTGCAGCAAATGAACCGAATTCAAGAATTAGTTTTCTTGTTCGTGATCTCAATATTGAAGTAATACATAGTATTCAAGTCTTTAGCAGATGTATTTTTAAAAAAAAAAATTCTTCGTAGTATCAATTATACTTGACCAACAAAAACGGATGATACGGTTATTCGACTGAAGATGCACAAGAAAATGCAAATACATGATTTTCGTTGTTGTTAATGACTTTTGTTATGTATATGGCCGAGAACTCAAAACTACTTTAGCAGACTTTTGTACCCAAGGGCTGAATCACATTTTGGAAGTAGAAAGTGTGCAAGGAGATGAAATTTTTGAAAATATTGACTGTTTTGAATCAAAGCTTATATTTTACACTACTGGAATTAAAAATTATGTTTCATCACTGACAGATCATTTAGGAAATTAATAGAGCAAGAAAATAATTATTTATGTTTAAAACGTAAGCAATATTTTACATTAAAATTTCTATTCAATAATTATTGTACAAAGGCAGAAGGTTTTTTCTACTGATTATCAATTGGGCTTATACTCTTCAAAAATATCGTTTTATTTTTTATTCATTGCATACCCGAGAAAAAATGTTTCTATATAATCATATATAATTGTATATGATCATATATGATTATATATGGAATCACATATATAATTATATAGAATTATATATAATCATATATAATTATATATAATCATACATGATTATATATGGAATTGTATATGAGGTTATATATAATCATATATAATTATATATGACTAATTATGGAGCGATATACAACCATGCAGGATTATATATAGTTCCATATACAAATATATATAAGTATATAAAAT